TAAAACTGGGGGGGCACTAGGGTGGCCAGCATATTCTCAGGGGGCTGGCGCCCCTGGTCATGTAAGGTTCATCCTGAACACTACATCATCCCCACTGTTTTCCTTACTAGTAGTCATAAGTTGCTAAATGTTCAAAATACTTTTTCTCAGCAGGTGGAATGATTTTGAAAGTCACGAACTTCCGATTTTTCTCTGGATAAAAACATTAAAATGAGAATTTCTGATTAAAGCAAGCAACAGTGAGAATTATTCCTTTGTTTGGCTGCTCCCGTCGTCAGTGGTCGCCACAATGATCACAGTAGATTTGGTAACTGTTTTACTACGGATGCTCTTCTAGTGTAACCTGGGCTCCAACATGCAGCCTCGGGATTACAGGATCACAGCACCGAGCCACAGCAGCCTCATAAATACAAGTCGTTTTTGACATAACATGATACCGAGAATAATATCATGTGATGTGAAAACAATCTAGTCTCTGATTATAGTTGTTGTATCTTCCATCTTTGAGGGTTTATTAGATTTTTTTTCATGTAGTGGACATGTCGAATTCAAGGCCTGCAGGCCAAACGTGGCCCACCACAGCATGTTATATGGCCTTTGAGAGCGTCAACGATGTATTGATGTCTTAAAATAAGTGTATGCTGCTTTAAAGCCAACGTTGGCCGTCAACTACATCTTCCATTATGCATGTTAATTATTTTACCTGCAGATGATGGCATCCCACCACTAGGTGGAGGCGCACAGAGTAGCCAGCAAGCGGCAGGCAGAACAATTCGCTGCGTAAAATCTCTATTTAGCTGCATTTTTGTTGGCTACTTTTGCTGTGGAACCAGTTAAAATGGGAAGTGGGAATTTCCTACTTTCATGTTGTTAATTTAAACTGGACCACCCCTACCGTGGGAATTCCCTGTCAAAGTGTGAGAGTTCAGAATTGAAGACAGCAGCAACTTATCAGTACTCAACAGTTTAGATTTTTTTTCTTCTTTTAAATTTTTTCTATTTTCTGCTTCTTTTCATTTAATTTATGACTCGCTTTGATTTTATTGTAGCTTATATATTATATATTTTTTCTTTTTTAACGAACAAATAAATGAATAAGTGAATAAAAAATAACTGAGTAAAACTTGCTTACTTTTAACAGTATTTCTGTATTATTTATTTCACATTTAGTCAGTCCGACAACTTTTCAGTGTTTGTAAGAGGACATGTTAAAATGCACAAAATACCATGTAGAGCTCAATTGTTTGTTAGCATTGCTCATTTGTAGCAATGAGATGGAGAGTGTGACGTTTTGTGTTCAGTTAAAGTTAAGCATGAAAGTTAATCACAACTGGCCCTTCAAGGGCCACCATAATACTCATGTGGCCCTTGGTGAAAATGAGTGATATCCCTGTTGTAAAAGATTCTATAAAGGTGGAAACAAATACAGGATAACTTAAGTCCAACAACTTATGCTCAACCAGCTGTGTTTAAACACAAAGACAGCTGAAAAATATGGTTCAGTTTGTAGCTCTAAATGTGGTCATAACTTTGTTCAGTATAAACAACCTGTTTATGAAATGAGAGGGCTAAAAAAACGACCATCCATTTTACTTTACCCACTTTTTCCTTTCTGGGTCACTGTGGGGAGTGACCACTGAACCACTGAAGAGATTTTAATGAAACTTTCACAAAGTAATGACTGGCTCTACATGTGCAACTGATTAAGGTTTGGAGTCAAGATGACCACCACAACTAATCAACTTGGTCTACAAAAAACAGCCATAACTCAGTGAAATTTACAAATACTGAGCTAAAATTTGATGCGGTAGAAGCTAAGCGTCGAATGGATCACGCCATATCACTGCAATCCTGCATGACGCTGTGTTTTCTGTTACTGTCAAGGTTCGACGAACAGGACTTCAACAATTCAACTCTGCCGTTTCTCAAAATAAGATATTTCAGTGTGGAAGGTTGCAGATGACATCCCTTCAAGGAATGCTAGGTCTTTAATTTTAGATATTTTTTTAATGTACATAAAATATTTCCTAAAACCCAGATCATTTTGCTGCAGTTCATCAGACCGGCCTTTCTGGAGTTTGGGTTTAGAGATGATAAATAGATTTTGTTTGATGTATTTTTAGCTGWTCATTGCTCCAGATTACTGATGACTTACTGATGGGATTACTATGATCAAGCCTAATTTAGACTTCTGCACTCAGATCATCCACTGAGCTGTAAACATAATAACAATATGATTACAAGCTGTTTTCTGTGTTTGTGTGTGTGTGTGTGTGTGTGTGTGTGTGTGTGTGTGTG